AAATAGTAGCTACCTTATGGGATTACTGTGAGGATTAAATATGCCACACATGTAAAGTGCTGAGCTTTGGATAAAATTCCTTTTCATTAGCTTTGGGTGTGGGATGGGGGATTAGATCTTGGGCAGAACAAATACCCTCTCTATGCCTCACTTTCTTTATACGAAAAACAGGGCCAGGGCAGACTAGGCAATCAGAGACCAGCACCCTTGGTCTGATGGTCAGAGTAGGAAAGGTACAGAGTGGCTATTTCCAATAGAAGCCTGGTTGGACCTTGCCCCATGAGATGAAGGGAGTCTATGGAGAAAGGAAAATGAAAAGCCTCTTAGTGGGGCTGAGCTTTATGAAGCTCAAGGAAGCAACTCTTAGTTTAAATTCCTAAGAAAATATTTTGGCCTCCTCCACACAATCCACCAGTCCTAACATCAATGAAGGCCAGTGTGCCAGGTTGGCATCCTGAAGTATGGGGCCCTTCACAGCCTCTAGGGCTCCCTTACTGGGTTTCTTTTGGGGCAATTCCCCTTCTGAGGATCCCGGAGAGGTAGTAAGGCCTCCTAGGAACCCCCTTCTCAGGAGACCCAGGTTTGGCCTCCTGGGCTCCGAAGTATTTTTAGGGGACATTTCCTTAACCAACTGGTTGCTGCCACTTGATTGACACTGTAAGGTATTCAACGCCAGCCTTGTAAGATTCCTGCCTGAATCTACAGAGTAAATGTTTCTCTTGCATCTGAGTAATCTGTGCCTTCATAATTCAGCTTTCCCAAGGGGCAGAGAATATACTTGCATTGCCAGTCCTTTTTGGGCCTCTCTGCTCAATTATCATTGTTGCGGAATATTAATCATAAACTGGGACATTAAAATGGAAGTGAACTCAGGCAAAAATCTTTCTAATCTCCTCCTGTGCTTTCAGAATCCTTCTCCCCAAAGCCAAATGGCAGTGAAGGCCATATGTGTTTGTACAATGGCTTTCCTCTTATTTCCACCTAATTATTATGGAATATTTGTAATTTCCTTCATCCTTCCATAGGAACTATAAAATTTAGGTAACTCATCCTCAAAACACAATGCCAAAATTATTGATAAGATGGAAATCACATATCAATGAGGATCATGCCATCGAAAGACAAACACTTCCCTGCCACTGTGATGAAAAGATAGGATTAGCAGGAGACTGGAGATAACGTAATGTTTCAGTTTGTAAAATCTTTATGAAAAGATTTCCCATGAATCAGCTTTGGAGACTAGAACATGCTGGACTACCATGGTGTGGTAAATGCCTTGTGATTAATAAAACCTCCAAGTTGTGTGTATGTGTGGAGAGAGAGGAAAAAGGGATCTTTCTATTTTTGATAGCCCTATGAGCATTGACTTTTACAAAGAAAAGACAGGCCCTGCTTATACTTATAAGCTTCTATGGGTAGGCTGAGCTGTCAATAAATGCAGGGACCCTAGGCCCTGGGCCTAGTCTAAATACATTTAAAATGAAGGTAGTTTCAGCTCTGAGCCTGAGGTGGGTTGCAAAGAGGCAGGTTCTCCTCTGCACCTTGCAGCTGAACTTTTCACTTGGAGGGTACATGTCGCAGTCCAGGTGCAACCAGATGGCAAAATGGCAAAAACCTTCCTTTCTGAGGAAGGAAGGTTTCAGGAGTTTTCTTGGGGTGGGGAGTGGAGGGTGGGTGGCAGGTGGCCATCAGGGTGGGATCTCTTCTCAAAAAAACTCAGAACAAAACTTAAATGGGTGTTTCATAGGGACACTGCCTGGATCACCCCCCACCCCGGTCTTGCTTTGGAGAAACCCTCTAAATTCCTAGGGTTGCACAGTTTGTCCCAAGAAGCCATAGGAATTATTAACACACCCAAATGTGTGCTTGGGGAAGGGGTATCACTCAGGATGGTGGAGGAACAAGGTTTGACGGCTAAGACCCTGTCTTCCACAGAGCAATGCTTTGCACACGGGAAGTGCCCAGGCAGTATTTGTAACTGCTGATATAGGTGTATTTTCATCCTTCCCCAGCCTACGATCACCTTCTCTCAGGGGACCCTCAACCTGGAGAGCAGCCTCCTCCATCAGGCCCAGCTCCTCATCCCAGGGCAGGCAGCTTGCTCAGTCCAGTCACTTGAGGGACTGACATACACAGTTCTCAGAATTGCACTTTGTACAGAAAAGGTGGAAGATTTTTCTGCTTCTACAGCCTTTTTTTTGGCGGCTGGTTGGGATAGAAACCTGAACCCATGACGTTGGCGTTACAAGGCTGCGCGCTAACCAGCTGTGCTAACTGGCCATCCCTACACATCTATCAGGGCTCCGATGTCCACACATATGTATCACCTGAAGTCACAGTGGCCTATGTTGTGGTACTGCAGTATATTGCTAGTACTTCTAAGGCATCAAGCTTATTGTATTTTTAAAGTCAGCCCTTAGCACCATGCCTAGTCCGTACAGATAGATAAATACCTGTTATGAAGAAAATGGCCACTCCATTACCTTCCAATTTTCTTATTGGCTTCACAGATCTAAACTGTGTGCTATGGTACTCCTTGTATGTGTAGTTGATCTCCAGTTGGTTGCTTTCCAGGGTTCTTCAGGAAGAATGGATAATAGTGCTGTTTACTGAAAAGAATAGATTTTCTTCAGGATGATATGGACTTTGCTAGAGAACAAGAGGAGTAACTAGAGAATGAGGGGAGAAAAGTGCCTTACGTTAGTCATCAGTACTGATAAAGAACTTTGAGAAACACATCAAAACTGAAGTCTTGATCACACGCCTGGCCCAGGTTCCTTAGAAATGGGACCTTGTACGTGTTCCTGCTAGACTTTGAAAAAAGACAAAATGAAATGTAGGTTATTACTTTTATGGGGGTGAAAAATCGGAGGTCTGATTTACAGGTAGAAAAGGTGTTTGATTCTGCATTCTCATTTCCACTGTTTCTGTTGCTGGCTTGTACCAAACTTTTAATTTCTTGTAGACAATGCTAGCACCATTATTACCTATGCAGGCTACAAAACTTGTCAGAACTGCTGGGGACTGTTGGTATAAACTACCGACAAAGTTTATGTAAATAGTGGACAGAAGTCTTGACTATACAAGTATTGGGGTAGGGAAAGATAAACCCATTAAGGGTAAAATACAAAACTAGGTATGATAACTTCTCTCACCTTGCATTCTGCTCACCTCTTATTCCAGATACATTTATGTAAACTGCTTGCTTTCCTTAAACTAATTAAATATGCATGTCAAAATTGATGATGAACAGATATATTAGAAGATATATAAATGAAAGGCTGCTTTTAAGTTCTTAGGTTAAAAAAGTTTTCCAAATGTCCATCCGAATTTATCTTCCATTAAATTCTTCCTCAGTGGCAATTCTTTCAGTGGTAAGTCAGATCAGAGTACCTAGCCAGGAAGTTTGAAGGTGGCATTTGATTTCTTATTAGGATATGCCGACTCCAGAATCTAAACAAAATATGCAAAGACTTTTTATCACCTTGTGAGATACCAGGGGGTACATGAATATTCAGGGCTCCACACTACTATATAATGCTGCATTTCTTGTTTTTATTCGAAACAGTGCATATTTTTAGCATTTTATGGTAAATTTTACACTTGTCATTTACACAAATTACAAGGTTCTGCTTCAAGTCTTTAAAAAAACTTAAAAAATTCAGCCCATGTGCAGCACAAGAATATGCAAAACTACTTTACATTATACACACTTTTTATCAAAGGAGATACAAAATTCTGGCTTGTAGTTTTAGACAAATACAAGAAGCTTCAAACTAGACACAAAGGGTTAACATTAATTCTCAAATATAAGTCTGCACTTTTGTGATGTAGTTCTCTGAGATGTGAATACCAAATTCCTAAGGGATTTTACATTTTCCTTTTCAAAGGAAAACTGACAAATTTCCCATAAACAAGTCCCTCCCCATCAGTTTAATCTTTCTACCCACCCATTCTCCCTTCCCTTAGTGCCAAAAATTTGCATCATTTTACAGAATCAGGGGTGGGCCATTTACATACGATCCTTTTAGCTACTCCTCTCCTGCAAAAACCAGAACAGCCATAAGTTAATGCAAATGGTTCTGCTGTTTTGTTTAATATGACTTAGTATTTGGTAATCTAGTAAACTGTGATGCTGGGCAATTGTTCAAGAGGAGTGAGAGAGCATGGAGATCCCTATCAATGCACTTTTTGTTGGTGACAAATTGGAGGCCTTAAGAATCAAGTTAACTTATGTTAAGAGAACTTTAAACTTTCTAAATAGAACATACCCACTGATTGCTTGAGGGATTTCTCTGATACTTATGCATAGATTTTTTTTCAGCATGTTGGAGGCAATATCTTATTATTTTCATTCTAAAGGGTTCAGAAGAAGCAAAAAGGAAGAGTAGGGCTTTTTCTGCCTTTTTAAAAGATACTGTTTACTATCATTGGTATCCATTGTTCCCTAACCATCTGATACCTAAACGTGTGTGTATATACATAGTAAAAGAATTCCTTATCTTTCTTTCAGAGTCAATATACAGCCAACTCTTGATTATCTATGAGAACACAAGTGACATTTACTTCCAGCAAATTTTACTCTTGATGTAAAATAATCATCCTTTTCTGACACATTTTATGGTTTGCTTTATATCCCATGTGGACTACAGCCTATCAAGTTATAATGCAGATGTTATTTCCTCTAACCCACACTAGACACCTGTAAGGAAACTGGGTGAGCGCATTCTGCTAGGGCTTTGGGGATGGACCTAAAGGGGACAGCGGGGGCAGGAGATAACTTTGACCGTGAGAAAGGACAGATGTCAGGGTCCTCCTGAATTAGGTCTTGCAGTTTGCCTTCATTATTTTGTTAGTTAATAATTAAAAACCTGAGGCACAGTCACTATTTTATATAGATAATGGAGAGTTGACTGTAATCATATTCTTTATGAATTTAGCCCTTTCACGTAAAAAATTCACAAGAAAGCATATTATAAAGATTAAAAAAGACTGCCATATGACATCTATAAGCATTTATTTTACGCAAAAAACTTAAATATGATTATGTGTACACAAAAAGTGCACACATTACCTATGCTGAACAATGCCAAGAAACATAATATATTGATGCAAGTTTTCTAAAATAAACATAAAAACTGAGCCCAGACCAGCAGACGAAAGCAAAACACTTATTTCTCAATAGCACAATGCTGAAAATTGATAGCAATCCTAAAACCTCCAGCTTTCCTTACAAAGCTGCCAAAGTCCAACTATTAAAAAAAATTGACTTTTTTTTTTACATTAATAATAAAAATCTGGTGACAAACATTATAAAACCAAATGTTGGACAGTCTTTACTCCTTTATAATTCCAAATATTCCAACATAATCACAGGAGTAAACACCATTTTAAAGTGATATGCTTTATGAAACAAACAATATGTACATTTATTGCAAATTATATTAAACTAAAATGAAGGGGAATCAAAATGAGGTGTTTACTACTTGCAAATCAATAATAATTTTAATTATTTTCTCACTCTGATAAAAATCAGAAAGCAACATTTATAAAATTGCCACCACATCACTTTTCATAGCAGGGAACTGAAATCTGTACATCTCACTTTTGCAGAAAAGTAGGCAGGCAGAAAGAATTATACATAAAAGTTTCCAAAAGGAAAAACAAACAAAGAAATATTTAATCTGATCTCTTTCCTTTAAAAAAATTAATTCAGTAGACTTCTATTTTTTTCTTGTGGTAATGGGAATTCCTGGCTTTAAAATGGATGAATTTTCAGTGTCAGTGTAAGGACATCTTGTTACTTTCTTTAAAATAAAAATTGCAGCATGGAAATTAATGGTGTATTGTGTGTTTAAACTCCAGATATGCAGGAACTGGAACGATGTGTTAAGCAATTTGCTTAATTATTGACTCTTCATAAGAAAAGTCTGGTGGGGAGGGGGTAGAACAGAGTTGCTTTTAGCCTCTCAAGAGTTTCTGCTGTACATTTCCATCAGAGGACTTGTGGTCATGTGAAAAGGAAGTAATAGTTTCTTTCAGTTTTCAAGGCAGAAAGTGAGTGTTCTGAAGTGAGCTTCATCTTCTGTTCAGGGACATTTTGAATCCAAGTTTTGCAGAAGCTGGAGCCTGCTTCTGTTTGGCCTTCATTTTCTCCCTTTGCAAGTGAGTTTTCTTTTTACCTTGGGGAGAGGAGAAGAATGAAAAGTTAGAAGAGATGTAGACAGGATACAAATCAAACCAGATTGGTTTCATTTCTATGGTTATCTAAAATCTTAGTTTTTTTTTTTTTTTTCACATTTTCACCTCACACTTGACTTGGTTTAAGGAATCTTTTCCTAAACTATATAAAAACAAAACACCAACAAAGTTTATGTTTTCAACTATTTTAAGTGTTGCTATTTAATGCCGTATTTGCTTACAACAATAAAAACTATTTATTTGAAATAATTGTAATTTTTTATTAATATTTTCAAAAACTTATGGAAGAAAAATTACTGGACACTATAGCAAAATGAATTTATAAGCAGGAAAAAAGAGAGTTCTGACTTCTGAGCTGGGGAAACATACATTTTAGTTCACACACACAACAAAAAGAAATCCCCCAAACCTCCAAAAACCAGGGAGGAATATTTAGCTTAATTTTGTTAAGAGGTTAAGAGGAATTGCCCACTTGTCCCATTTCACTAATATGGAGGGAAATTCTGATCCCTGGAAGTACAGGAGAGGGGGATATACGGTCTCTTTTCCTCCTCCTCTCTCACCTGCTCTTGTTTGGGAGGAGAAACTTTCTAACAGATGAGATGGGGGAAAGAAACTGAGCATGTTGGGCTTGGCCTTGTCTAAATTTGTTCTCTTTTGCTGAGAGGTGAATTCTGGTCTGCCTGTGGTTGTTCAGTTTAGTAGCCCACCTTGCTTGTGTGTCATTCCATATTTTAAATCAGCCTTATCAGTATTAAGACTGTGTCTCTTTCTCAACAGTTCCAAACTTGGGAGAGAAGGAAAGATACATTCCCAAACCCCAAAACTACATACACATTTTATAAACGTAACAATGCTAAAAAAGTGGAGTGATTATTAAGATTCTTACAGAGACTATTAATTTGTTATTATATATGAAACAAGTTTAATAATACGACAAAGAATCCTCTAAAAGCTGCCTGCTGCACCTTCAGGAAGCTTCCCTTTTTACTAGCTCTGAGTCCTCAGTATCTTCCTGGCTGCTCTCACAGACTTTTAAACGATCCAGGTCACTGGAAGAATTTCCTGGACTTGATTCTATGTCCCAGAGTGAATCGCCATCACTTCCGAGCACTTGGTTTCTGAAAAATTTCATGTTATTTTGATAAAAATTCACTGGTTACTGAAAGAATGTACATATCATACTAATATGCAGTTGTTTAACACATGAGGATACTCACTTAGGTGTTACTTTAACTCTAAGATATGAACCAATGTGATATGAGGAAACCATTCTCAATATCCAAATGAACATAGGAAATCAGTAAATTCTTTGCTTAATGGAAACAGAAATTCCAAGATCCTTGAATACTACCATATTAAGCGTACTAAACAAAACATGTTAATCCAAAGATGGGAAAACTATTGTCTGTTTTCCTAGAGCTATCCACTTTAAATTCACAGATTCCCCAGAAGTCTCAAGTTTGAGGACTGTTTTGTGGAATGATTTGGCCTTAAGTGTAAGCAAAACATACTCAAGAATCAACAGACCTATTAAAAACACATTTTGAGTGCAAAACATTTAGAATTGTTTGCCATTTGGATAAGAGCTCCACCTTATAAAGGAAAAACAAGCAAACTAAACTACTAAAATGATCATTCCTTCACCCAAAACTCAGAGAGCCAACATTAACACTCAGTTGTTTAGGTACTGTTTCCTAACCACAGTGCAAATGGCTGATTTTTATAAATGTATCGAGTAAATTGAAGGAATTTTCTCAAAAGAAGTAACAATTCCAAATGCAACCCAAAACATAAACAAGAATACTTATTGGAACCTACATATATACAAGTCACTGAAAGAATACATTTATTACAAAAATCCGAAGGGATCTAAAAATTCTACAGTTAACTTTATAAGTTAAAATACTCAGCATCATCCCAGATCAAATCTATGCCAGTAAATTTTTATATATGTTCTCCATGTTTGTTGGAATAAAGTATCCCTGAACTAGTAAATAAATCATGTAAACAAGGATCATGCTATAAAAATAATTATTGACTTGATGCTGTCAGTAAAAACCTAGTAAGAGGAACTCTACAGAAGTTAGCACTTGCCATATATATATTGTATTAGAAATAAGTGGGCTGGCCTGTGGCTCACTTGGGAGAGTATGGTGCTGTTAACACCAAGGCCACATGTTCGGATCCCTATGTAGGGATGGCCAGTTAGCTCACTTGGGAGAGCATGGTGCTGACAACACCAAGTCAAGGGTTAAGATCCCCTTACCAGTCATCTTTAGAAAAACAAACAAACAAAAAACTATGTAAATTAGAAGAAAAACATAACTGTGGCTACTACTGTTACAGGTTAAGTATCCCTTATCCTAAATGTTTGGGATCAAAAGTGTTTGTAATAGTTGCATTGCACTTACGGGTGAGCATCCCTAATCTGAAATGCTCACTGAAGCATTTCCTTTGAACATTCTGTTGGACATCAAAAATTTTCAGATTTTGGAGGATTTCTGATTTCTGATTTGGGATGCAGAGCCTGCAGCAGTATAGTGAGGTAGTTAAATAAGAGGTATGCCTCGACATGAAGCCTTTGCCCTGTACAGCACTGGCCAGGTGACCTGAGAAAGGTCTTTTCAGGTCTTCATTTCCTTATCTCTAATACCAGGTTGTACTTTCTTCACAATGGTTGTTTGCAAGTCAGATATATGCTGAATAGACTTTTCCTATCATCACTATTATGCTACTAATACTTATGCAAGGCACCGTACCAAAGGCCCAAAGGCCTTCTACACATAATTCTAAATAATTTTCACCATGGTCTTGTTCTTAGCATTGGGTGCTTCATTTACTTTAGTTTACCACTTTCAAAAACATCTGACCTTTTCCTTGGTTTTCCTCTCTAGCCCTAAAATGAAGGGGGGCTTTTGTTTGAACGTAGTCTGAAAGAGTTTAAAAGAAGACTACAGTTGGTTTGGTTTAACCTGTGATTATTTTACTAGCTTTTTTACTTAAGTTACTACAACTGTGTGCAAATATATTCTACTTTATAACTATACATTTATGAGCTACATTAGATATTTAAAATATGAAAGTAAGTATTTTCAGAGTGTTCACTGTAATAACTTTGTACGCATATATAGTGAATGTAGAATTGAGATTTAATTTTAATCTTAAAAGTACAATATAGTATGGCAGGTATAAACTCTGCAGTTGCACTGCTTTGGTTTAATCCTGGCTTCCTCATTTATATAAGAAAAGGGACCAAGAGCTACACAGGACCTCTATGCCTGGGTTTCCTCCTCTTTGTAAGCTGCGGATAATGATAGTACTTATACACATAGAGCTATTTTAAGGATTTAATGGTTTAACAAATAAAGAGCTTAGTATTGAGCCTGGCTCACAAGAAGCACCATATTAGTGTTAGCTATTATTGTTTTTATGTAGCAAATTTTAAAATTGTGATCAAATGCATATAACTAAATTTACCATTTTCAAATTTTTAAGTGCACAGTTCAGTGGCATTAATTATATTCACATTGCTGTACAACCATTACCACCATCTCTACAACTTTTCCATCTTCCCAGACTGAAACTCCATATCCATTAAACACTAACGACACCTCTCCACCCTCACTGGCCCCTAGCCCTCGGCAACCACCATTCTTTCTATGAATCTGACTATTCTAGGTACTTCATATAAGTGGAATCATACAATATTTGTCCTTTTGGGCCTAGCTTATTTCACTTAACATAATGTCTTTAAGGTTCATCCATGTTGTTGTATGTGTCAGAATTTTATCCTGTTTTATGTAGTAATTAAAGAAAATAATTCTTATACTTTTATTGTTATCAATCAACAAATGTTAAGTGAAAGTTTTCTGCTCTCTTCTGGAGTTGACAGGTAAGGAAGTATACTCTGAGAGCAAGAACATATCCATTTTGAATACTTTCATATTGCCAACACACAGCACAATGGCTGGCACTTTAATTGCTAAGTATTTACCAAGTAAATACAAGGAGCAATTATGTGCCTATAAAGCTTTCAACTCTATGCACATGGTTATCGTGAGCAATATTATAATACTGATTTTCCAGAGTAAGTTAGGTTTCTCTGATCAGGATTCAAAGCCTAAGCCATAATGCTAGAACTTAAGGGCAGAGTTGTATATTAGGTCCAGGACAAAACAGAAAGGCAAGAGGAGGCATGGGAGAAGGTTTTAGAATATTCTTCTGTTTTGTTAATCATGAATCAGCAGCTAATAACTCAATCAGAAGTTTCCAAAGTACTTGTGCAAAATGTTTAATCTATTTTTCTGAATTGACACAGTACGATGTTATCATGAACATCTAGTTTAACCATCTATCTTCCCTGAGAATAAAAAAAAGAGTCACAGAGGGGCTGGCTGGTTAGCTCAGTTGGTGAGAGTGCAGCCTTGTAATACCAAGGTCTAGTGTCTGTATCCCCTTCTTTTTTTTTTTCCTTTTTGTCTTTTTTTACTGACCGGTAATGGGATCACAACCCTCGGTGTTGCACCCGCACCGCGCTCAGCCAGTGAGCGGGAACCGGTCTCCACATGGGATCCGAACCCTCGGCAGGAGCGCCGCCGCGCTCCCAAGCGGCGCACTCTCCAGTGCACCACCGGGCCGGCCCTGTATCCCCTTCTGACCAATACACTCTAACCCCCTCCAAATCACAGAATTCTGTATTTGGATAACACACTGCCCATCGATCTACTAAATGGATTACTTAAGACCTTGAAGGTGCCTTTTCACTCTTAAAATGCTCTTTGTGAGGGTTTTTAAGAAGGCCAAATGCCATTTTTAATCAAAACCAGTCTCTGGCATGTAAGCCATTATTGTTTGTTTGTCTTCTTTAATGATGTTGGGGCATGTGGTGTAGCTAAAAGTAGAGCAATGGATTTTACAATGCCCTAAATCAGAGACGAGGTCTGATTGCTACTAAAAAATTTTCAGGGTCCAAGTATGTATGTAGATATTTTAGTTGGATGGCAAAAGGACAAGTAGTGGGAGGAAAGGTCAGGTAGGTCAGGTGGCTTAGGTGGCCTATGTGATGATCAGTATTTTTTTGAGTGAGGAATGGCTAGGATAGAACTCTAAAAACCCATTAAAGAATTCTGATCATCTCTGGGAAAACATTCAACGTTTGTATAACTGAAATTGTAGGGCCAGCCCGGTGGTGCACTGCTACAGTGCGCCATTTGGGAGTGTGGTGGCGCTCCCGCCGAGGGTTTGGATCCCACATACAGACCGGTTCCCGCTCACTGGCTGAGCGAGGTGCGGGCGCAGCGCCGAGGGTTGCGATCCTGTTGCTGGTCCCGGTCCGGGCGCGACACTGAGGGTTGCGATCCGTTGCCGGACACGAAAAAAGACAAAAAGGGAAAAACAAAAACAAAAACAAAAAAAACATAGTGTTGGAAGTACTAGCCAGAGCAATCAGAGAAGAGAAGGAAATAAAAGGCATCCAGATTGGAAAAGATGAAGTCAAACTGTCTCTGTTTGCAGATGACATGATCCTATATATCGAACAGCTTGTATATTAAGGAGTAAGGCGACTAGAATTCAAAACAATGGTAATAACAATTACCGAGCATTTATTCTGTACGAAGTACTTTGCTAAGTGCTTTATATCGATCCATTTAATTTTCAGAACAATCCTTTGAGGAAGCTATTATACTGTATTACTAATGAACAAAAGGAGACAGAGGTTAAATATGTTGTTACAGGTCAAAGGTCCGCGTTTGAGGAAAAAAGTCATGTAAAGTTTGCTCCCAATATTGGCTTTCATTACTGCATTTATTAGTGGATAAAAACACAAGTGGAGAAACATACTGTCACTTAGAACAGGTTTGGGCCTTCTGGATCCGATGCCATGAGATACTGTAGAAGGTGATCTGGATATATCCGCTCATATTTCATGACTATCTTCTCCATTTGGGGACACTACATTTAAAAGGTGGCCCTTTGTGTTCTGTAACCCAGTGTGACCATGTGAAGGGCTCCCAGCAAAAGATAATACTCTCCTTGTTAAAAAACAGAAATATCAAAATACCATATCCTAAATAAAAATTAACCAAAGAAAAAAAAGGAGATCTTTCTTCAAATAGGTGCCTTAAAACTACAGTTTATGAAATAAAAACAGGGCCGGCCCGTGGCTCACTCGGGAGAGTGCGGTGCTGATAACACCAAGGCCCCGGGTTCGGATCCCATATAGGGATGGCCGGTTCGCTCACTGGCTGAGCGTGGTGCTGACAACACCAAGTCAAGGGTTAAGACCCCCTTACCGGTCATCTTTAAAAAAAAAAAAAAAAAAAGAAAAAAGAAATAAAAACAAATGACATTATAACCTACTCTGTAAAACTAAGTGAACTTTTCAGTCCCAAATGCCTAGGTATTTGGTGTGACTGGAATATACTAAGAATAAAACAAAATGTCTAACAAAGCTCAAAAAGAATGATGTATATTACCTTTGTAAGTCAATTTGTCTCTCTGCTGGTGCTGCCTTTTTGGCAAGGTCTTGCAGTTTGGGTGCTTTGGCATTACCTGCTTCCAAACCCCCAGGGCTCTCCTGACTGACTGCAGCTCTCTTCCTTCCCTTGCTAATAGGTTTATTTATATCATCATTTTTGGTTGCATTGCCCTGAGATTCAGACTTGGGTCGACGTCCTCTCCGGGGTTTGGAAGTGGGAGGCGGTCCTGATTCATCTACTTTCTCATCTGTTTTTTGTTGGATATTCTCTGCACCAGCTGCTGTTACTGTTCTTTTCTTTCCTCGGTCACTGCTTATGTTGCCCTGGGTAGCCTGTTCAGAATTAATTTCCTAAAAGAGCACAAAACAATTCTGTAAACACAAGTTCCTTACATATCAATGATTTATACCACAAAAAAATATTCTGAAAGTTTTTAAAGGAATTGGGATTCCAGGACTTCTAGTTAATTGCCTATATTCCATTAGCAAAGTGAGCTCCTTGAGAAGAAGGACCATTCCTGGTGCCTAATATGGTGCTTGGCACATATAATATGCTCAACAAATGCTTATGAAAATGCACAGGTCATACATATTAAACAAAGAAAATCTACTTGGCTTTATTATTGTACCCATTCCAAATGAAAACATCCTTTTTATTGATGGCATGCCCTAAATTTATTACTTTTTTTCTTTTTTAAAATAAAGATGACTTGATAAGGGGATCTTAACCCTTGGCTTGGTGTGGTCAGCACGACACTCAGCCAGTGAGCAAACCGGCCATCCCTATATAGGGATCTGAACCCATGGCCTTGGTGTTATCAGCACCGCACTCAACCGAGTGAGCCATGGGCCGGCCCTTAAATTTATTACTTTCAAAAGAAAAGTATTTTCAGAATTCAATATCCTATTTTCTTTCTCAACGATGCATCTAACTACAGTAATTTTTGTAGTTTTGTGAAATGAAGTTCTTTAACTTCTCATCCCATTCATTCAAACTTTTGTTTCTCTTTTACTGCAATCATTAACCTTCTACTATTTTCTGAACATTTCCCTTTTTTCTTATTCTAGTTTATCATGTATTGTTATCTAAAATATTCAAAATAATAAAATTCCATTTTATTATAATAGACATAATAGACTTTAGAAGAAACAATAGTTTTCAGAATGAAATTTTAATCAGTATAATTTTAATTGATTAAAGGGGAACAGAGGAACATACCATCATCCAAAAAATTAGACTATATATTTTCAATTAATGCATTTTCATTTTCCCCTGAAAATATTTCCAGAATGAGGAAAAATATGACAAGTCTTCATGTTTCAAGAAAATTTACTTAAATGAAAACTCATGAGAGTAATAATTTAAGTAAGAAAATCCACTAATCAGTATTTTACTCTAGGTTTACTCTAATGATAAGCCTCACTTTAAGAGAATGGATTCAGATCCCCATACCAGCCAGGATAATACATGAAAGGACAAGAGTAAGTAGCCCACAAGAATTAAACTGCAAAACAATCCACAATGGATTACAAAAGAGATATGCAAAGTCATCTTGGGAAAAGATGGTGATTTCTTGGCAAAACAAGATGTGTCAACAACACGACCAAGTATTATCAAACCTCAAGTAGGAAACATTCGGTTCAACTGAATATCTAGTATGTGTGGTGGCTGGCTGTTGGGCATAAATTGGGGACAAAACTGAATTGTTTCTGTCCTCATGTAGGTTCATACGGTAGGTGACTAATTTTTTTAAAAGTACAAATTACCCCAAATACTAAGAGGTAAATAACAGGGAGTTCTGAAAAAAATCATAGGAAGCATCAATTTCTAATTGGTCCTTTTTGGGAAACATTCTGTAAACAATATTAAAGCAGGATCCTGTCATATGAAAAGTGAAGAATTCTGGACAGAGGAAAGATACATACATCATACTGAACTCAAAGAAGAAAAGAGTTTGGCAGATTTAAGGAAACTGGACTATAAGGAGTGATGGGAGAGCAGTATAAGATAAGGTAGGAGAAGCACGCATGGGACAGATTGTTTAGAAATTTGGATTTTATTCTAGTGCTAAAGATAGTAATTTTTAACCAGAGGACAAACATAATCCAAATTATATTTTCAAAAGACCACACTGGCTGTTGTATGGCTACTGGATTAGAAGGGAGCAAGAATAACAAAAAGATAAAACTACTACAGCATCAGAAGCTAAGTTAGACAAGACAAAGATAACATTTCTTTACTTTACTAACTTATACTTATTTACACACTTAACTTATGTGGCAGCTGGCCGGTAATGGGATCTGAACCCCTCACTTTGAACTAACCAGCCAACCCCCCCATTTTAAAATCGTTATCTTTGGGAGCTGGCCGGATAGCTCAGTTGGTTACAATGCAGTGTTATATAATACCAAGGTCAAGGGTTAGGATCCTCATACTGACTAGCTGCCAAAAATAAATGAATAATAATAATAATAAAAGGCAAAATATGAACAGGCAAATTATAGAAGTGCACATCCAAAGGATCAACCAACATACAGTAGAGAAATGGCAAATTAAAACAATAGTGGGGCATTAGTTTTGATACTGGAGACTGAAAAAAATTCAAAAGAACTGTAAAACCTGTTGTCAGTGGGTAGAGAAAAAAGTGCTCTCATACCTTGCTGGAAGAAATGCCAAGTATTCCAGTCTTTCAAGAAATCAATATGGAAATGTCTAAAATGTGTAATACATTTATCCTTTGACAACAATCCTTTTACAAGAAACTTGGACCTCAGAAATAAAATCATCAGTGTGTGTGTGTGTGTGTATAATGAATATTCATTGCAACACTGTAGTGGGAAACAAGTGTATATATACACATGAATATGACAAGACTGTAGAGGGAAAAAAGGACATAGACAGATTAGACTGTTTAAGAAGAAAAAAAAGGTGACATTAAAAATCATGCACTTTTGGTTAGAATGCAGCCTTAACACACCAAGGTCACAGGTTCAGATCCCCATATCAGCCAGCCCCCCCCCCCAAAATCATGCATGCCCATATTTATACATTTATGAAAATTATGTATATGTACATACATATCCAGTTTGCTGGATAATTTTCATAGATATAAACTAATAAATTGGATTAAACATCAATCTCTAAGAAATTGGTTAGCAAGAAATACTGCTTTAAACCTTTACATATTTTCATAGTACTAACAAGCTAGTTTCTTGAGCCTACAGGGCTGACGATCAGGCCTATGAAAGAAATGACCATATCAGCTCATGGTGACTTGACTGGAAAGCTATCAAGCTTTTGCTAAAATACAATCTGTCTCTTCAGGCTACAGCAAGTTTGTCAAAAAATTCACTGAAAGTGTGAAAAAATTATCACAGATCAATTAGAAAGTAAGGCTTTGGCCTCTCAAAAATAAAAATTTAAATATCCAATTTTTCAAAATTATATATAATTTTTTTTTCCTTTTTGTCTTTTTTCGTTACCGGTAATGGGATCGCAACCCTGAGTTGAGCGATTGCACTGCGCTCAACCAGTGAGCGGACCGGTCTCTATATGGGATCCGAACCCTCGGCGGGAGCGCCAGTTGAGCGATTGCACTGTGCTCAACCAGTGAGCGGACCGGTCTCTATATGGGATCCGAACCCTCGGCGGGAGGAGTTGAGCGATTGCACTGCGCTCAACCAGTGAGCGGACCGGTCTCTATATGGGATCCGAACCCTCGGCGGGAGCGCCGCCACACTCCCAAGAGCCGCACTCTACCGAGTGCGCCACCGGGCCGGCCCTAAAATTATATATAATTTTAAGTAGGGTCTGGAAAGCTTAAAGATGACTGGTTGTACTAGATAAACATCTGTGTCCCTGCATGATAATGCACACACCACCTCTTAATATGCTTTATAAGCACATCTAACGAATGCCTGTGGCAATATGCCTTTCTGTATCTAAGTTTGTTTACATCAAGACTGCTGAATTCTGCACAAGGACCCCACAATATTCAAATCTACTGGTTCTTAGATTTCACTTTTTTTTTTTGGTGGAATAGTTCTGTAGGAGGGAGAAGGTGTTAGGGAGAAAGTGGATAAAGGGCACAAAGAAAAATTACAATTTGTAATAATGCATAAGCTAATTGAAAAGAAAAAATGATTCCAAGAGTTTTGATAGTGAGAGTTACCCTGTTACCTGTATCCACTGACATACTGTGTTTCAGACAGCAAGTAGCAAGAGTTTGGGTAAGGAGAGGATGATATAAAAATGCATCCTTATCTATTCAATTTGAGTTCAGATAATGAGAGCTTGGATAGGAAAAGTTAAGCTGTAGTGAAATAACTGTATAATCCTAGTATATTTACATACCTGAGGGTAATACCTAAAACATTTGAGGACCACCAAAAATACGTGGTGGGAAATAAAGATAAGCAAGTTAAGAATACTATTCTTTGGGAAAAGAAATAATAGTACCTTCAAGCCATTCCTATTGAGATACGTTATCAATTTCATTTTACAGTTGAATGGATGCTTGGAGGCATCAAGCAATCTATCTGCCCAAGTCAACACTTAGCCAGAGAGTGGCAGAGCCAGGGTTCAAAATCAGGTCTGATGCTCCTACCAATTATGTTATACTCCCCTCTCTTGCCAAAAAATTGTTAAGAAAATTGAATGCTATAGATTAAAGGTCAAAAATAAAGAATGTGGCTGTTAAATAAAAATTCAAATACACTTTAAAGGCTAAATCATAAAAGTTTAACTTTTAAAAATACAACAGAAAGGGCCGGCCCGGTGGCGCACTGCTACAGTGCGCCGTTTGGGAGTGTGGTGGCGCTCCCGCCGAGGGTTCGGATCCCACATACAGACCGGTTCCCGCTCACTGGCTGAGCAAGGTGTGGGAGCAACACCGAGGGTGGTGATCCTGTTGCCGGTCCCGGTCCGGGCGTGACACTGAGGGTTGCGATCCGTTGCTGGACACGAAAAAAGACAAAAAGGAAAAAAAAAAAAAATACAACAGAAACAAAACAGTGCTGACCTTTGGCAGGAATCGACAAACTTTTGAAAGAAGGTCTCAAAACCTTTTGATACCTATTCTTTCAAGGTGTTGGGTAGTGTGGCAGAAGAGTGACCATGTAAACTCTTGTAAAATAAAGTGGGTGGTTGTAGGCAGAATCATTTTTGGAGAGCGGAAACACGGTAGGTATTTCAGGGAGTGCTGTACATACATGTATAAAATGTAGTATGTACATTAACCTGTCAACTGTGGGTTTTTTATCCCTACCATGAAACTGTAATAAGAATCTCCATGGGAAAAATCTACTTGTTAAATTTTTAAATTTACCTTATTCTTTACTGGGTCAATATTCTTTACAGGTGTGACAGAAATAATTCTCACAGGATTCTCTTCATTTTCACTAACTCCAGTTTCTGCTGCCTCTGAACTCTGTTCTCTGTTAAAGAAAAATACAACAAAGGGCCTTTATTTCACCACATGAATAAAAGTCCACTTTCTCATTATACCAATAAGGAAAGGCTTAGTCTAGTTTAGAAACCAGGGCCAAATGAAGAAATGATAGTAAGATTCAGATCTTCTGTGGTTACAGACTATTGCTTTATTATATCATGTTCCTGATTTTCATGTAACCAAGAGAAATGACTGCCTAAAACCACCTAAGAAAAAGACTGTCAAGAAACAAAATAACACAACTATTTTTTTTTTTTTTTTTTTTCAAAAAGATGACCAGTAAGGGGATCTTAACCCTCGACTTGGTGTTGTCAGCACCACGCTCAGCCAGTGAGCAAACCAGCCATCCCTATATGGGATCCGAACCCGTGGCCTTGGTGTTATCAGCACCGCACTCTACCGAGTGAGCCATGGGGCCGGCCCATAACACAACTATTTTAAGCCTTACCTCTTGGGGGTAGGAAAGCCTAAAACAAAAATAAAACTATAGGTCATAGTATAGTATAATTATTTCTAGAGTTCTTCATGTTCTGCAAGTAAGAGAGCTGCAAGAAGAGGCCACTTGAGAGGTGTCTGAGCCCCGACCATCTCTTTAAACCACAGCTATTCCACAGTATTTTATATTTTGGATATTTTGGGATTCTACTATTAAAAATGTTAACTTCACTGGTTGAATTTATTCTAAAGATTTCAAGAATAAAACTTTTAGCATAATCAATTGTTTCAATTCAAAAAATAAATAAAATCTTTAAAAGACTCAATATTTATTTTTTTAATTTATCAATATACAATGTAGTTGATTTTCATGTCCCTTTACCAATTCCTCCTTTTCTTCTGTCCCTTTCCCCCTGCCCCCCATAAACATCATATCTGTTCACTTGTCTTAACAAGTTCAAGGAATTGTTGTGATTGTTGTCTTCTTTCTCTCCCCCATTTGTTTGTATATTTATTTATTTATTTTTATTAGCTCCCACAAATAAGTGAGAACATGTGATATTTCTCTTTCTGTGCCTGGCTTATTTCACTTAATATAATTTTCTCTAAGTCCATTCATGTTGCTGCAAATGGTAGCATTTCTTTTCTTTTTTTTTTTTTTTATAGCAGAGTAGTATTCCATTGTGTAGATATACCACATTTTCCTTATTCAATCCTCTGATGAACATTTAGGCTGATTCCAATCCTTCGCTTACTGTAAATAGTGCTGAGAAAAAGATTCAATATTTAGTGTTGATATAAGTAGGGCTAGCTAGTTAGCTCAGCCAGTTAGAGCTTGGTGTTATAACACCAAGACAGGGGTTTGTGTCCCCATACTGGACACCCGCCAAAAAAGAAAAAACAAAAAGAAATTTAAAAAAAAGGGACTCAGTGTTCTTATGCAGCAGTTAACATACTCAACACCTGATATGTTAAAATAAACATGGAATACTTTTATACGTAGAAAATGTTATAACAATGTTAGCTTATTCTATATTGAGTTAAAAATTAAAAAGTATTTCAATTTACTTAAAACAGTTATATTTTCATAGTTTTCATTATTAAATTTCCTCATATATAGAAAATAAATGGTTCCATGTAAATTGGTTATATATTATAAATACTTATTTTCTCTTAACCTTTCTACACATTTAGAATGCTATGTTTTCAAAGTGTATAGTACACTCTCTTATCATTAAAAATACTAAAATTCATACTTATTTTGTACCAAAACACTTCAAAAGGTAGAAGTTAATTTCATGATACAGTACTCTAGGAATAAATTAAAAGATGAAACAAGCAATGAGTGATAGTAACAAAAACAACTGGAAGAAAAATATTGCCTTGATCGATTTCCGGTCGAAGGGTTCAGCTCTGAATTTACATTAATATTGCTTCCAGTCTCAGTGCCAGTGCTTCTAACATAGGGTTTCCTTCCCGTTGCTGATAAAGGCTTGTTTACTGCACCTAGTACTCCAGCAGGCTTTGGCTAAAAATTACACACATATATATGTTATTTTATATCTTACTGAAAGAAATACATATAAATTTAGGCACATGTAAGAGATATTGTTCAGCCTAAGCCAAGGTATTGTTACCTTGGAAAGCTAAACCCTAAATTTATGAGAAATGATAATTCTGTAAAATCGTGTTTGGCTGCCTTAGTGCAATTAAGTCATAAGCATTATTTCTACTCAACAATAACTAGGCAACATTTGTTATTCCACATTAGTCAACCAAAATAAAAAATGCCCCTGAAATACATAATAAAATGTCTTGTAAAAAAACAATGAAATGTACACAGTAATAGATTGGAAACCATTTACCAAAAATGAAATTTCCTTTTGTTCTTTTAGGTTATCATGTTACTTTTATAGAATATAAATTGTCTAACTCATTAGTACTTTAAAACTATTTCTTTTAATTATCTTATACATCTAAGTCCATTATACCATTTCTCAGGAAAATCTGCTTTGTGGATTGTAAATAAATTGAGACTTATCATTACTGATGAGAATACATGGTGGCACATGGTGGCAAGTCAGAAGAATGATTCATAACAGATAAGAGTCTGAGAGAACATGCTACAACCCACAATGTGATCCGTAAGAATCAGGAACTATAAAATCTAGGGGACATTTAAAGGTTATTTCTAGAAATAGCAGAAGTAATATACATATGAAATAAAGATCCCAAAATTATCAAGTACATAATACCTTTCCTGTTAACAGAAGTACTCTTGTCTCTTCTGAAATATAACTCTTGTCATTACAGAAGTCCTATTAAATAAAAAAAATCAAAATGGACATGCATATTTTTGTCGTCTAAATAAGACTTTTCAGGCATTATGCCTTGCAGTAACAATTACATTTGTGTTATATATACCAATTCACCAGATAATCAAAACACATTTAAGGAGCCTTACTCTAAGTCTAGCTTTAAATTAAATCAAAGGCACATAAAACTTAGGCAAATACCAGAGGTAAATTTCCTAAATCACATTTTAAATAAATCACACTCCTATTTTTTCATGTGGTTCAGTGGAAACAATCTCCAGTTTACTCCTTTAAAAAAAAAAAAAAAATTTAGAACTGTAACTAGACCAACTGTCCAAATCATAAAGGTAACACATTATCAAAATATTAAATTTATCTTCACACTACTGTCATAGGAAACAAAGGGCTTAAGTGTGTCTGTGAGGAAATCACACTTTTGTCATGTGTGCTATGCAAAACTGTATCATTTCTTTTGCACAAAGGCTTTTACGCAGCTAAAATAAATGTTACAAAGCCTGGGCACCAAAGTTCATTCACTTTATTCATGAAGATATACTATAGCACTATAGCCCCACTAGGCTCACTATCCGAACAAGCCTAACTTTCTAGTGTCTAAATTTACACCCAATTAGAGCAACATGTCAGGAAAAAAATGAGGTATGTTGTATATTGTAAACAGAAAATCCTAAGTTATCATTAAGAAAACTAAAATACTATAAGTTATTTTAAGTTACAGATAACAAAACAATAAAAAAATGTGATTTGAGGCCATTTAGATGTAGTGACAAACAGCAATTTAATTCTTGATAATGGCTGATCATCACCACTGGTATAAAGAGCATTTGAGCACTATTTGAGCACTACTCCAGGCATGATGGCCTTGGGCCAACAGTAGGATAAATTTAAATTCAAGAGCTCACATTAACAATATTTATAAAGACCAGTAGATTCAATAAGAGGGCAAATACCTTTGCAATCCTTATTATTCCTAAGAAAAGCAAGGCACAGTAAATGTTTAAAACTATGTCAAATAATGAAAATCAGATTTAAAATTTTCAACAAAACATTCTCTGAAATGTTCTTTATAGAATACTCTAAGGGGGTTATTACTTGGGCATATCTACAGGCATGAAAATGTGTAGAAATTGTTTAAATGCTGTATTTTTTCCAATTAAAAGTATTTGATATTCTGTTTTTTTAAACAAATCACAGGAAAATTAAACAAACTTCAAAATATCACCTAAAAGCAGGGAATATATAAAAGACATTTAAAGTTTTTTGAAATCCAAATTAATTGGAAAAACTTACAGAGTAGGGTTACCTACAAAATTTACTTACATGCTGATAACAGAATACTATGTATATTATTAATAATACCATTCACTGAATGCTTACTATATAATAAACTCTTCATAAAAGCCTCAATATTAGTAATTATTCATATGTATCATATTATCTTTTGTTTTTGTTTTTTGGAGCAGATGGCTGGTGTGCAGATCAAACCCCGGATCTTAGTGTTATCAGCACCACGCTCTAACCAACTGAGCTAACCTGCCAGCTTCATATGTATTATTAACATCCACATTATAGAGATGAAGAAATTGAGGTTTAGAGGAGTTAACTTGTCCCTCGAGTTAAAAGTGGTTAATCAGAATCCAGGTCTATCAATTGCCAAGACCACTTCCGTTAACTCCAACACTTTACTTCATGTATAGATGTATTTATATTTACACTGCAGCAAACATTTAAAAATGTCTTGTCTGTAGAAATACTAACGTGTTTTTTTTTTTTGTCTTTTTTCGTATCCGGCAACGGATCGCAACCCTCAGTGTCGCGCCCGTACTGGACCGGGACCAGCAACGGAATCGCAACCCTCGGTGTTGTGCCCGCACCTCGCTCAGCCAGTGAGCGGCCGGTCTGTATGTGGGATCCGAACCCTCGGCGGGAGCACAGCCACGCTCCCAAGCCGCGCACTGTAGCAGTGCGCCACCGGGCCGCCCCAAAATACTAACGTGTTTTAATAAAATGAGAGTAAAGTAATCTTAAAAAAAAAATTCCCAAAACTCATCTTCATTCTAGAAATACCCAGAAGGAAAAAGAAAAACTATAACATGCAGACATGCAGCTTGATTTGTATTCTATTTAAGTGTGAATGATGTTCAGGTATTTCGAAGACAACCTCCCATTCCTAGATAAACCCAGAGATCCAGACAATCCAATATTTGCCGCTAGAGTTGATGGTAACTGAAATTTAAATCAGTTTAGTGAAGTAGAAAAATGGAGAAAAATTACCTTTTCAGGTTGTGTAAAAAATTTCATTGGGAGGACTGGGTCCTTTGGTGAATCTGCATTGCACAAAGCACTTTTACTATTTATAACACACAGAGCCACATCACACACTGTATAAAGTTTCTAAGGAGGAAAAAAAAAAAGATTATATATAGTTTTCAATATTGCACAAAATGTATAAATTAGAGTTAAAAGAAGTATATGTGATTGCTATTAATTCCTTGAACATGTCATATTTCTATTCAGTATTGCTTCTCATGTAACCTTCTGATAAAGGAAAAAAACTTTCTTTCTTAATTTAACATGAATGCCAACTATGCATTAAAAATAACAAACAAAGCAAACCAGAGAGAGCATGCACAAAAAAAATCCATTCATCTGTAAATTTTACTAATTCTTACCCTCCTGCTCTGCAGATGTTTTCATATCTTTGAGTATTAAAGGTTCCCAAAATAATAATTTATAATGAAATGCAATAAAAATTGACTATAAATATATGTTTATAAAAGTTCTATGATTTAAATTATTATGTAATGATCAGAAAACAAAAGTGGGACAGTATGTTTTTCTATAACATCTTAATCTCCACTGGCCTAACATTCATCTTACTTCATTTGTCTTGGATTCATCTGGAGACTGGGCATCTCTGGTTAACTTGATGTTCTCTGCCATCTTCTTCATAAAGGCATGGCTATTGTTTTCATTCTTTGTCATTAAAACTTCAAGCATGAACCATAGGCACCTAAATGGTAAACACATTAAAGAGACTAGATGTAGGTATGCTTGCTGAATAGAAAAAATAACTTAATGGGAAGTTCTGTTATCTTAATGTATTAAAAGTAAAATATAAAGAAAACCCTAATTAATTGAAATATATTACCCTGTTAGTAATATTCAACTCACAAATAATATATTAAAAATATAAACATAGTGCGCCAGCGGTGCTTGGGGGCGCTTGGGAGCATGGCGGCGCTCCCGCCGAGGGTTCGGATCCCATATAGAGACTGGTCCGCTCACTGGTTGAGCGCGGTGCAGGTGTGACACCGAGGGTTCCAATCCCGTTGCCGGTCGCAGTACGGGCGCGACACCGAGGGTTGCGATCCCGTTACCGGTCACGAAAAAAGACAAAAAGGAGAAAAAAAAAAAAAAATATATATATATATATAAACATAGCTTAATATGAGAAATTCTGAGTTTCATGAGGCACATAAAGACTCACACTACAGGCATTTAATAAATGTTCAGATAATTTGATATTTCTTAACACCTGGCAATGATGAGTAAACCAACATACAGCAGTCTTGGCATACTATTTGTGAGCTATGGCAGGTATGTAGTTCTGCTGAGATACAAGTCTGATTTGGGCTGACTGGTTAGGTCTGCTGGTTAGAGTGCAGCCTTGTAACACCAAGGTCAAGGGTTTGGATCCCCGTACTGTCCAGCCACCACAAAAAACAAAACAAAAAACAACAAAAATACAGTCTGAATTGCATGTGCTATGAGGCTAATCTGTGTGGAAACCAGTCACTCAACTAAGTTGTCACAACTCACACCATTTTTACTGTTTTCCACTTGTCACTGTATACTCATTTAACACACAAAATGTCTGAAGGGGTCACTTAAATTTGTCTACACTATTTCTACTCCTTATCTTTGGCAATCTGGCTTTCACCTGCATTATTTCACTGCAGCTGCCCCCTGCCAAGGTTACCAGTGAGTGCTTTGTTGCTAAATTCAAACGGCACTAATTATCTCTATGACTTTACCCTTGCTGGTAAAATGAGAACGGTGTTAATTAGCCCAAGACATTGTTTTAATAATTAAATGAAATAATATTTGTAGAATACTTGAAACACAATAAACAGTCAATAAATGTTAGCTGGTTCCTAACCACTTCTTTTCCCTTAATTCATTTTCCTTCTTTTACACTATACTACTTTTCATTTGACCTCTCTGATATTTCTCCTCCAGGTCCTTTTTAGATTGTCTGTTCTTTCCAGCAAATCATGGTATCCCTTAGTGATATGCCTCAAGTCTATACTCTCAGAACTCCTGTTCTAAGGACTATTTTCTTCCTCTTATTCTTAACTTCTGACTTCCCCCAAATGTGGGTTATGTGCCTCTTCTAGGTACCCTATGATAGCAGAGTATATATCACACATATCATATTGCAATTGCCTCTTCACTTTTCCTCATCTCTCAACAGATTGCAAATCCATGGGACCATATGTGATGTCCAAACTATATAATTTTATAGATCAAGAACCTAGGACAGCACCAGGCACACTGAAAGTACCTGTAAATATTTGTTAACAAGGTATACACAGATAAAGAGGAAAAAGTGTGGGAAGATACACACCAAAATGTTAACAGCAACAAAGGGCTTTTAGGGGGTATAATTATAAATATTTTCTTCTTTTTTGAGCAGCTGGGGATCCGAACTCTTGACCTTGGTGTTATAATGCTGCATTCTAACGAACTGAGCTAACCAGCCAGCCCTATTTTCTTTTTTTTTGACGTATCTATTTTCAATTTTTTTCTTACTAAAAATCAATATAATAAAGGAGAAATGTCATTATTAAGCAATAAAGGCTATATTTAAGTGTGGTTTTTTTTTTTGTCTTTTGTCTTTTTCCGTGTCCGGCAACGGATCACAACCCTCAGTGTTGCCCCTGCACCGGACCGGGGACCGGCAACGGGATTGCAACCTTCGGTGTTGCTCCCGCGTCTCGCTCAGCCAGTGAGCGGGAACCGGTCTGTATGTGGGATCCGAACCCTCGGGCGGGAGCGCCGCCGCGCTTCCCAAGCGGCACACTTATCCAGTGCGCCACCGGGCCGGCCCTTAAGTGTGGTTTTTCACATTCAAAAATATTACTACTAGGGCTGGCCCGTTAGCTCAGTTGGTTAGAGTGTGTTGTTATAACAACAGAGTCAAGGGTTCAGACTCCCCATACTAGCCAGCTGCCAAAAAAACAGACAAACATAATATATTGCTACTGATGTTAGAAAAAATGGCAGAGTAGAAAAAAAATTCAGCAAACTTACAGATAAGGCAATTGAAAATAATCAGTTTGAGCAGAAAGAAAAAGAATGAAGAAAAATAAACAGAACCTGACGAACCTGTAGGAAACCACCACATCCCAACAGACACATCGTGGAATTCCCCAAAAGAGAGAAAGGGGCAGAAAAAATATTTAAGAAATAATATAAAAAAACATCCCAAATTTGGAAGATGTAAATATTCATCCAAGAAGCTCAATAAATTCCAAAGTAGGATAAACTCAAGAGATCCACACTGAGATACCCAAAGATAAAGAGAGACTCTTAAAAACAGCAAGAAGGAAGTGACTCATGTACAAAGGATCCTCAATAAGATTCACAGATGATTTCTCATCAGAAACCATGGTGGCCAGGGGGCACTGAGATAACATACTTAAAAGTGTGAATAAAAAAACTCTGTCAACCAAGAATTCTATATCCTGTAAAACTGTCCTTCAAGAATCAAGATGAAATTAGGACATTCCTAAATAAACAAAAGCCAAGGGAATTCATTATTAATAGATTTATAAGAAATGCTTAAAATGAGTCCATCAGAATGAAATGAAGAAACACTACACAGTAACCTGTAGCTGTAAGAAGAAATAAGGGACAGTGTTAAATGTAACAACATAGGTTATTATAAAAGCTAGTATTACTGTACTTTCAGTTTATAACTCATTTTCTTCATGTATAATTTAAAGTGGGATCCTTGCACCCCCTCAAAAAAAAATTAAAAGGAAAATACATAAAACAATAATTGTAAGCCTATGTAAATGGGAACACAATGCATAAAGATGTCATTTGTGACAATAACAATATAAAGGGAAGACAGAGTTTTTATAGCAGCAGTGTTCCTATACCACTGAAACTAAGTTGCTGTTATTCAAACTAGGTTGTTATAAATTTGAGATGTTAACTGTAATCCCCAAGGTAAACACTGTAAGAAAAGAACTAAAGATATATACAGAAAAAAAAAGAGGAAGGAATCAGGGAAGTCCATATGAAAAAACAACTGAATACAAAAAAGAGGCAGTACCTGAGGAATTCACTAACAAAAGCAAATAAGACACACAGAAAATGAGTTCCAGTCAAGGGCCGGCCCGGTGGCGCACTGCTACAGTGCGCCGCTTGAGAGCGCGGCGGCGCTCTTACTGAAGGTTCGGATCCCACATACAGACCGGTTCCCGCTCACTGGCTGAGCGAGGTGCGGGCGCGGCACCGAGGGTTGCGATCCCGTTGCCGGTCCCGGTCTGGTATGGGCGCGACACTGAGGGTTGCGATCCGTTGACGGACACGAAAAAAGACAAAAAAGAAAAAGGAAATGAGTTCCAGTCAAGATGGCAGAATAGACGATTGCCAGCACTACTCCTCCCACAAATCAACCAATTTACAACTATTAAAAAGCAACTACAGCCAAGCTGGGGCCACTAGAGCTCAGGGGAAGAGGAGGAGAAACTGATAGAATTCATGAAGGCAGGAGAAGCCACGTGAGAGAAAGAAAGGAATTGCCCCTACCATTTCAAATCCTGGATGCTTCAAGGCTGGAGCTGGTGAACACACGGAGCAAGAGCTGGCAAAAACTGCAGCTGTGACCTTTATATGAAGTTGCTTAGAGGAGGAAGGGGAGAGAAGGGCCTTGGTGGCCCTTAGGACAGCTGGACCACTACCAGGGTTCCCATGGACCCACATAGGCCTGAGGAGCCACAGCAACAGAAAAAAGGAGCCACTCAGAGGCCAGTGAGTCATTGCAAAGAGACCAGCACCTCGTCCATCCCATGAGAAGTGTTTGGAGTACGGGTGGTGGGGAGATGGGAACATGGGACACAGCATGGACAGCTGATCTGCCCCCCAATCAGCAGAGGACCAGCCTATGGAGACTGGTCAGGAATATAAAACTGCAGGGGGAGCAGTTTGCTGAAAAGACTCAGGTCCAGAACAGAGCTGCCACACAACCCAGGTGTACTGGATCTCACAAGACCTGGAAGTACCTACAAAGTCAATCATTAAAACCTGAGCTGCCAAAAAAATTTAAAACAAACAAACAAACAAACAAACAAACAAACAAACAAACAAACAAACAAACAAACAAACAAACAAACAAACAAACAAACAAACAAACAAACAAACAAACAAACAAACAAACAAACAAACAAACAAACAAACAAACAAACAAACAAACAAACAAACAAACAAACAAACAAACAAACAAACAAACAAACAAACAAACAAACAAACAAACAAACAAACAAACAAACAAACAAACAAACAAACAAACAAACAAACAAACAAACAAACAAACAAACAAACAAACAAACAAACAAACAAACAAACAAACAAACAAAAACCCTGAGCTGCACAAAAAGCCTTCCCCAGGGAATCAGCAACAAAGCAGCAATTTAGCTCAACCACAGGGCTCAAGTGCTGGTCCCCACAAGAAGTTCCTCCATTTTAGAAGCAAGCAAAGGACAACAAATTAGTTCCAATGCAGAGTTTAAATACTGGGAACAGTGAATAATACAATACAGAATTGAAAGAAAAAACAAAATACCCAAAGACCAAAGTCTGATATTTACTACTAAAGGTCTCACTTCACCAAAGAACACCTATAAAACCTAGAAGGACCAGAAGCCTCCTGGGCCCCCAAGTCAGGGATAGGGGAGGACTGGGGCCTCAGCCATGTCCCCCGACACCCACAACCAGTCC